TATATATATTGAATGAGATGCATTATCTTTTTATTGAAGTAGCTGTCACATATATATACCTCCAGATCGAATTTATTTGTGTTGTGCTGGACGACGAAAAGAAAACAGCACGTCTGAATCTCCGGGTTCCAGAAGTTCTCGATATTTTGTACGGACCAGAGGCATCAGGAGTACCAAGGTATGCTTTATGTGCGATATTTAACCAGTATATCTATCTGTTAAAGTCAAATGAAATTACGCACTCGTCGCTTACAGCGAGACAACATTGGTTCTGATTATTTTGGACAATTTTGTCCAATCGTGCTTATTGAAGGTGTTTTGGGGTTCATTAATTCAATGTTCTTGTGAACATTACCAACAGATGCATTTACCTACGTTAAAGTTTGCGACTACACAGGACTGTTCTTTGCCTTTGATAGCTGTAACGACAGGTATCATCTTGCCCTGCCGTTAGCCACTCGTGTGAGCTGTTTTTTTGTTGAATGCAAATCTACACACAAATCGATCTCTTCTTGCCTTCGTTGCAGCTCTGAATTGGATAGCTTGTGGCGCCCCGAATATGGAAGCTACATGATTGAAGGTGCGTCATAAAAGGCGGACGTGTGTTCTTGATCTCGCTGCACTCTATACTTGAGCGACAATCTCTTGATTACTTCAGCGACCATCCCTTAGTTAAGACGCGACTCACCGTTCGATGCGACTCTTAGGTACTCCTGGGTCGCCCTACGGACATAGTCTCAAGGAGTTGACGACTATCGAAGCAAACATGAGGATTCGTCGAATAAGAATCAACGAACAGCTCAAGCCAGGAGAATGTGTTGTGGCGATGACTAACTTCCCCCGGCTTGGGTAAGCTTGTTACTATTGTAGGTCTATGTGCAGAGTGGGAAATTGTGCAAAAACTGTGTCGTGGCTGGCAGTCAACGCTTTTCTTGTGATCCGGGTATGCGGTATGTGATGTGTACAAGGGATGGTTAAATTGCATGCGCTGTGGCACTTTCTAACTATTTTCGCTTGTACTTTTCGCTTGGCATAGCTGTACTGTCGGGTCACAGTCTAAGGGGCCATGCTGAATTGTCAATAGTGAGGTCACGTCTTTACTAGTGATAACAAAACTACCCCAGCAGCAGCACCTAGTATCACATTGACGCATTTTTTTATTTGCCGCAATCATCCCAGTCGTATATTATTATATGCCACCAGTGATTTTAGCAAGCGAAGTTACAGGTGATTGCCATATTACTTCCATCGTTCGGAATGCCAATTGTTCTACTTCTAAGTTCACTTCCATGTGTGCAGATGTCCCGATTGCACAGAACCACCCAGCCCTCCCCAAGGTCCCATTGCCAAGTCGTTGTTCATCCCAGACTCTGCGATCAACCCGCATCCTCGTTTCGGGTAAATGTGTAGAATGCATGGAAGACTATTCGGACACGCACACAGGAATACAGAACGTTGTTTGGGTGATGCACAGGAATAATTCCAATTTTAATCGATAACAGCATCGTGACAATGTCACACGATGTTTATATAGCTTCATCTCACCATAGTGCTTTATGTGATCGACTAAGAGTAAGATACCGAGTGGCCCCGTTCATTCACTACTGTGTGCTGAGGCGCGTGTAGCCTCCAAGTGCCTATCAATCCCGTTGGCGTACATTGCCATCTTTCACTTCATAATGTCAGTTTTGAGCTATGATTGTTTCTGAGGCTTCTACATGATAGACACTCATATGCGGATTTAATTTGATATGTCATCAATAGGACTCTCACAAAGTCGATTCGCGAGCGAAAGGGTCGCCGAGTGGATATCGACGTGCCTATATTCCACGACAAGAATACACCGAACCCATTTGTTGAAGTATGTGTATTTCTGATCTAGATCTCTGAGCTGTAAGGAAGCGCTTCTCTACTATTCCAGGATTATAAGGCAGCACTGACTTTTGACTATGGTAAATACAGGAAACTTGTTGACACATAGGAAATTCGCGGACACATGAGGTGGTGATAATCCTTACATCGCAACAAACGGTACACGGGGTGTATGCATAAAATATCAGCTATACATAGTATTACATCCAAGCAAACATACACATAATACATGCAAGCGAACATACTTAGGCCGTTACTACACATAAATCAGCCATTACAGAATCAAGCCCGCAAGCGATTGCACATTATCTGACATGCAAATTGATATCCGAATATCGGTCCGACATATAGTATTATGGACTAGCATACAGCTATTGTGCTTTGTAAGGTTGCTTATAATGTGCGTGTATGTGGAGACGAACTATTGACAGCTGTACAAGTTATGTCTATTCACCGGCGGACTCCTCACTAACTACTTCTGCATAGTTGCACTGAATGTTCGCTGTTATTCTAGCGAAGTTTGGAAGTCTTGTAGATTGCAATCATACATTCCGTTGCGTTGCGTTGCAAAGGATACATGAGATGTGAAATTAATCAGTTTGCATTTCTTTTTGGTGACAGGAATTCCCCCATGACGACGGGGAAGCAGCAAAAATGGCAAAGCCCGATACGATATACATGGATGCCATGTGCTTCGGCATGGGTTGCTGCTGTGTGCAGGTGACATTCCAGGCGTGTAGTGTGGAGGAGGGGCGATACTTGTACGATATGCTGACCCCCGTGTCCCCTATAATGGTGAGTACAAGGATTAGCGTGCAACATCGCTCGAGATAAGTGTCTTCTGATGATGTACGAAGCTAGATATTCACACTACTAGCCCATGAATTTACCTTTTGCCCGGGCGCCTTTCGCATCCCTCAGGACGATACAGCTTTATGATACATAGGCATTTCATAACACACTACGTGCGAATATTACAGCATTAGGGCGTTTATACATCTACAACCATGTTTGAGTTTTGCAGCAGCGTATTCTGGTTCATGTGCACATCTCTGGCACCTTAGCCATTCCCTCACTCTTTCCCACAACATGTGTGTCCACGCTAGGCTAGCACGTGCATCTCATTGTGCTTACCTACTTGTTACCCATTGTCGGTCGTTTCGCACAGTTGGCAATGACAGCCGGTGCTCCAGTCTTCCGAGGCCTTCTGGCGGATGTGGATTGTCGATGGAATGTGATCTCAGCCAGTGTAGATGATCGCACAGATGAAGAGCTTGGTAAAAAGGTACATGGGTCTGGGAAAGTGTATAAAATTGATATCAATATTGTGTAGTATGATATGCTTCTTTTCAACGGCAATGAGGTACATGGACGTGGGGAAGTGTATAAAATTGGTATTGCTATTGTGTAAGATGAAAAGTTTCTGTTTGATGGTGTTGTTGAGTGCGTACGTACCACATTATTGTCATTCGAGGGGCGACACAGTTCACATGACTTTTTGAATTCAGGTTTCAAGCAACTGCGTCAAAGAGTAGGAAGATGGAGTTTGCTAAATTTTGTTTTTCTTAAAGTGTACGAAACACATGCCACGCACTGCCAAAATGCATAACGTCGTGTAACCTCCTGTTGTCAATAGTACCGGCAGTATTGTGTATGGTAAGAATAATGTGCTGATCATGAATCACATCCAAACCACATATACAGCCCTTGAAAGAGAACAAATTCGTGATCAACAAATCTAGGTACGACTCGATTGATAGTTACCTATCGCCCTTCCCGTACTTCAAGGCGAAGTACAATGACTTGCCGATAGTCTTGAACCAGGAAGTATACGACGACCTCAAGCAAAAAGGTATAGGTTTATACACAATACTCGCTTCTTATATAGCTGAATGTACCCTATAACTTGTTGGCATATGTGTACATCATGAATTTCATATAGCCGTGGTGGTTATCACGCCCTGGTGCTGCTGTCTTGCTTGCCAAGTATTTATCAGCACTCCTCGATTTAAAGGCTCTGGGCGGTAGGGTGGTCTACTTGATTGTGCTGCTAAGGTTCGGTACTGACACGGATGTTATCTGATCGTCCCCACTTCATCACAGGTATCGACCATCTACTCGCACAACACATCGCTCACTTGTACATCAGAGATCCGCTCGTGGTCTTCCAAGAAACAATGGATCAGGTACGTACAACCTGTTGTCTAGTTGTTTCGGTTCATTTCACATAGCAAGTCATCAGTGAGAATTTAAACTTATCATGTAGAATTCAGGGTTCCTGGTTGCACGCCATGAAGTAAGTTCAATGTACTGTACGCTCCAAGGAGCAAGCGAGCTTACGAGAGTTCCGAGATGTGTTGATAGTGTTTGTCATTAGTCTGCTCTATTTGTTTGTCTCGCCTCGTTGTATCACTAATATTAATCTGTCCATTATCAGGACGACGCGAATCAGAGTGACCATTTCGAGAATATCCAAAGTACAAATTGGCAAACGATGCGGTTCAAGCCCCCACCCCCCAATAGTGATATTGGCTGGAGAGTAGAGTTTAGGTATGCCATAATCTGTAAAACCGCTGTTTTTGGCAATAATGTTCGTCCACGCCGAGCTTTGCTGTTCATCGCATACATTTCCAGCCGCTGACTGTGTTACTGAACTGAAAAGACACTAATTATGTCGGCGGTATTTCTACACGCTACAATACCACTGACAGATACAAAAAACAGCAATTTGAATAAGTTCATCATTTTGACGTATCAATCCATACATACGGAGTCTAGCATCATGGTGGACAAGTCATGTAGGATCAGCTTGCAGTCAACAAATGATGTTGTTGATCGGGAGTGTTCTCCTCTGCGCATCCTGACTTTAATGCCTGGTTGCTTTGAATCGTTCACACATTCCAACCCTCAGGTCGATGGAGCTGCAAATGACCGATTTCGAGAACTCAGCCTTTACCGTATTCATCGTCTTGTTAACGCGAGCCATTCTGTCCTTCAACTTGAATCTCTACATGCCCATCACAAAGGTATAATACTGCAGGAATCGGTAGCAATACATCAGCTGCAATACATCTCTGCTGTAGGGTAACCAGAAAAGGGGCTTACATGCGGTTCTGGTTCAATTGTGTGCTTTCGCCCTGTGCGTGTGTGGAGAGTGCACTAGACACAAATATACGGTAACGCTGGATTCATAATTCACTGGTGGGCGGCCAAACGGCTACCACAAATCGCACCGGGTACGACTCTTCGGATGTTTTACATGTTCGCCAAGATGGCCTACTCTGTCTGCCGTGGTGTCCTTATATGTCTGTTGAAAGACCATTTAGATTGCTATGAGGTCTGGTATGCTGCTCCCATTTACTAATACGCTGCACAACGACTTCTGTACAGGTCGATGAGAACGTCCAGACGGCACAGAAAAATGACGCATCGAGGTCAGAGAAGTTTTACTTCCGAAAGCATCTGGATGGCAGCACACTCACACCCGACTGCGACCCAGATGCGTACGAGCTGATGGACATCAACACTATTATCAACGGTACGATGCGTGTATGTTGTTCCTAGTCGTCAGATCTCGCGCAGTATCTCTGAGACGCTCTCGATGTCGCTGAATTGGTAGTATGAACAGTTATCACGGACGTTGGTGGGTGGTAGCGCTTTTGAACGAGATTTGTCACTTTGCTGTGATTGCGATACGTTTAAAATTTTGGTGCAATGTACGCTGCCACCATATATACAATTGCAATCGCCTATACATATGCCGCACGAAACTCGTATACAAGCAAATACACATGAACTACATTCGTTCGAGATGCAAGCCGTCCCCTTTTGCTATGTAGTACTCTCACACAGAATACCATCTCGCACTGTATTTCAGTCAGGAAGTGGGGGAATCTCACACGGATGCCCATTTTTGTTGTGTCATCAATTAGGGAACATGCACAGAAAGCGGAAGACGAGTGGTGTGCTCCACGTAGACGAGGAGCCGACTGTAGAAGACGAGTGCGCGAAACAGAACGAATTCCCGGGCTTGCTGGCCTATGTGCGTGCGTATCTGAACACTATGGTCGTGGACGTCGAGACTAGCATGAAATTGCAGAGTTACTTGAACTTCATAAGCAAAAAGGCATCGGGTATGCGAGTTTTTTAATTTTGGATTTTTGTTTTATGTTGGCGAATGTATCGTATCGTCCATTGTATTCTCGTGTGTCCTTGCTTTTGCACAAGGCATAAGGACAAGCTTCTCTGAAACGCGCGTGATGATACCTAAGCTGGCCGGGGGTTTTATTTCGCCTTTAGTATTAAATATTTCACGTAACTCCAGTATGTGTACCCCTATAGTCAAATTGAACGTATATCGCTCGCTTCCTAACACAGGCGACCTCATGACCACGGCTCAGTGGATGCGCGGGTACATCAAAAAACACCCAGACTACAAACAGGACTCAGTAATATCAGACTCAATCAACTATGACATCTGCAAAATTTTCCTGGACGCCGGAGAGGGGCGAACCATTGTACCGGAGCTGACTGGTGATTTCGGAAAGAAAAATCCTATCGAGGTGACTCCAGGGCCTAAAGTCTAGATATCGGGGTGTTTTGGGAAGTCTTTCAAGTGTCAATTACTCGAACAGATCGAAGAACAAAAGCTCTAGGCTATGTCCATCGCTACATCATGTGTCGAAATAGAGGAATGTTCCCAGCTTTCTCGCAGCGGATGTCACTCATAGATCTATATCGGAAATACCTACGTATACACACTTAAACACGCCGAGTAAATTTGTATAGTAGTTCAAATCACCTACAGTCATTTCGGAGACCTCAGCTCGTGAGGGTATATATGAACGTGGGCAACAAAACACTCCACAGTGAAATTTTACGATCCAACCATTAAACACTCCGGCAAATTCAAGCTACAACACACGTGTTGCATGATGCATATGGTCGTGCAGAGAATCGTGTACATAACATATATATATAGTGTTCATAATGTATAGACAGACCATGTAATAGGTACGAATATATATATATATATATATATATATAGTGTTCATAATGTATAGACAGACCATGTAATAGGTACGAATATATTCATAAACGTATATATGCTTGTATGTACACATACAAACACCCACATATATATATATATATATATATATATAGTGTATATACGAGTATACATTTACAAATATTTTAAAATACAAATATAATATAAATGCATGCATATCTAATGTGAATATGTATATTCAATATATGCACATATATTGATATATATACACACACACACACACATATATATATATATACTATGTATATATAC